TTACCTTTTGGCTGGATAAATGCACCAAGCATCTTTCAACGTACAATTCGTAGAATTTTAAATAAACATAAAATTAAATTTGCTACAAACTATTTTGATGATATCATTATATTTTCTAATTCTCATGAACATTTAACCAATCTTAAGAAGATTTTCGATATTTGTAAACAAGAAAACTTAAAATTAAAACTTTCAAAATGTTCATTTTTGCAAAAACGAATAGAATTTTAAGGATATGAAATAAGCAATGGGATTGTATCACCAGATAACCATAATATTGAAGTGATTAAAAAATTAATGCCCCCTAAAAATGTGAAAGAATAAGATTCATTGCAAAGATTTCTTGGATCAATAAATGTTTACAATAAATTTATTGATAGTTATGCAAGTATTCGACATCCTTTAAATAACTTGTTAAAGAAAGATGTAAAATGGGTGTGGTTAGAAAAGTGTCAACAATCTTTTGAACTTTTAAAAAATGCTATTATTTGTGAACCAATTTTGAAAATTTTTAATCCTAATCATGAATGTCATCTTTTTGTTGATGCATCGTTAGTTGGAATTGGTTCAGCGTTAAAACAGACAGATGAATGTGGTGTATTGCATCCTGTAACTTTTAATTCTCGTTCCTTAAGGGACTATGATAAAAACTATGCAATTACAGAACTTGAATGTCTTGCTATAGTTGATTCTTTAAATAAATTCCATCATTACCTTCTTGGCCAAAAATTTACCATACATACTGACCTTGCTGCTTTAGTTTGGCTAAAAAATTTTAAAAATTTAAAAGGTAGATTATTTAGAGGGTCATTATTGTTAAGTATGTATGAATATGATATTAAATACACAAAAGGTTCTACTAATTTTGAAGCAGATTGGCTTTCGAGAGATGCAACACATTCACTTGTCAAAATTAATTGTAACAATAATAATGTTCATGTTTCACATTTGTTAAAATTGGATGAAATTGTTGAAGCTCAAAGGAAAGATAACTTACAAGGTAATTTTGTTGATATCAATAATGTTTTATGTGTACGTAAGAAAAATTTTACTAAAATAGTTGTTCCATTTTCGTTGAGATTAAAAATTCTGCAAATTGCTCATGATAAATTTAATCATCCAGGAGTTCAGAAAATGATTAACTTAATAACCCCTGTTTATTATTGGAACAACATAACTTCAGATATAAAAAAATTTTGTAAACATTGTCATACGTGCCAACTAAATAAAAAACCGTGACAAAAAAGATTTGGATTATTACAATCCTTCCCCCCTGTTAATCAATCTTTTGACTTACTAGCAATAGATAGGGTTGGTGGATTAAATTACTATAATTTAACAAAAAAAAATATTTAACTTTAATTATTGACCACCTCACAAGATACATTTGAGCTTTTGCATCAAAATCCATTAGCTCAGAAACTTATACTAATTTCTTACATCAAATTTTTCAAAATCAAATTCCTAAATCCTTGTTAAGTGATAGAAACGCTGTCTTTACTTCTTCTAATTTTAAAAAGTTTTTGATACATAATAAAATTCAAAAATTATTGACAACTGCACATCATCCGCAGTCTAATGGCAAGGTTGAACGCCTTGGTCAAACAATAATTGCGGGTTTAAAATGTAAAATTAATGAAAAACCTACTAAAACTCCCTGGCCTACTTTGTTAAAAAATATAGTTAATACTCATAACTTAACTCCCCATTCTGTAACAAAATTTTCACCTGCATACCTCATGCATGGTAGACTGCCCTATGAAAATCCCTTAAATGAAGAAATCGATCCACCTGTTGAGGAAGCTAAAAAAATAGCAATTCAAAGAACTAAAGAACATCATGAATGAAACAAAATTTATTATGATGCAGGATTTTTAGACATAGACTTTAAAACTGCTGAATTAGTTATGTTTGAAGAATTTACTTATCCTAATACAAGGAAGTTGTGACCTCTTTTTAGTGGACAGTATAAAATTCTTCAAATAATTTCAGAGGCTAATTACAAAATAAATAAAAAGATTAATTTAAGTATACAAAATTTTGAAATAGTACATGTATCAAAGCTTAGGAAATATCACAGCCCACAAATGTTGAAATTAAATCTTGAATAGTGTCCAAAAGAAAAGAAATTTTTTTAACTTTCTTTAATGGAAGAAGTAAACCCTATATGTTTGAGAGATCCGAATCGTGTGTGGAGATGTTTATCTAAACATCATTTGGATGTGAGGGCGATGAAAGTTGAACTTTTTTTCTCTCTCAATGAGGTGAGAAACATTTTATAAACTATTTTTGTGTATGTCCAATCTGGATCTCTCAATATCACTGTATTTCACGAAATTCTGTTTTCCTCCATTTTAACGGGGAATACAGATTTTCATCAAGTAAATAACCCTTTTAACCACACAGAATTTGAAATTCTGATTAAATGACACTTGCTGTCCAGTTCGTTAGCATAAAAATATGTATATTTTAATGTGAAAAAAATTTTTTAAATTTTAGTTGAATACTTATATAAATATGTTTCATTTTTCTTTTTGTTTTGTTGACTAAACAGATAAATTGCATTATCATGTTTTCATTTTTGTCATTGTAAATAATTGTTTTTTTTACACATAATTGATAAAATGTTATTTGTAGTAGGGAAAAGGAACAGTCATACCAACCTAAATTTTAAAAATTTAAAGTATTCCAAATTTTTTATTTTGGCTCACCAAAAAAATTTTCTTTGGGGGGGGGGATGTAATACAAAAATTATAAATACTTTTGTATTAATAAAAGCATTAAAACTCTTTGCATAAAATGTCTTTGGTAAAGAATAGGTCTAGAGATATTCTATTTTGGGACTCAAGGCTGAAAACATACCATTGAATTATAATTAGAATTATATTCAGAATTATAGAATCTTTCCCTCCTTCACGTCCATATTAGGAAGCAGTGAATGATTTTCCTTAATGCGTAGGGTTTCCTTAATGCAAGGTATGCGACGATTGAGCCTTTTCACCTCCTTTTCTATTAGTATATAATCCAGGAGCGATTGTTTTCGCATGTCTCTTGCTGTATGATGTGCTCCATGTAAGATCATCTGGAACCATCCGGAGTTATGTCCATCCCCTCCCTTGTGGAGAGTGGATGTGAAATGTTATAGCCACCAGCCTACCCGTAAATAAAACTAATGAAGGAATAATTGGTTCACGAATGAATTATTTGGGCTAATTGTAACCAATAATAACAGGGATATATATATATATATATATGTAAACTGCAAATGATCACCGATTTTATTTTATCACATTTAAAGGTTTATATTCCATTAGGAATCTTTGTATCATATGATGCTCATAAAAGTGGATGTGAGATATTGATATCTAGCTCTTTTCTTATAATGCTTTTGAGGTTTTGTACAATTTCAATATGATGTAAAGTTTATTGTAATTTTAAATTAAATACCTCGAACTCAAATAGTGTCATAGCCGAAAAAACTACTCGAGATTGACATATCAAGTTAAAAATGGAAGTTATTAACTCAAAGAAGTACTTTGGTTTGATCGTCCCGTTTGGTTCGAAGAAGAGCAATTAAACTAACTTTAATGCAAAAATTTGCGCAAAACGACATGGGCAAAGAAAGCAAAATGCTCCAGCACATTAAATTAAAAAAAATCAGCGGAAGCTTAGTTGCCAACTCAATAGTTGCCGGTTAAATTTCACTGGGTTTCCACGTCCTGGAAAAAATAAGTGAGTGGTAGCTAAGATTTTTCAAGACTACTGAAAAATTCTTAAATTTATCTTTCATTTGTGAATTACGAAATTATTTAAGAGTTTTTTTTCGTATCTATAGATATTTCCTTTAAATTAAATATTTATTGAACAACTATATATATGTTACTCTTAAGGACCGAAATTGGTGGTTGTTGACTTCCACCTGTGAAAGTTGACAATCACATAATGGATTTGGTAAATGTCCGAGATACATACTAGGTTTAGGTAAGTGCCCGGTATACATTTCCCCAGAATACTTTTGACCGGTATGACCTACATCAATGTTTTGCTAAGGTCAAGTGCCTCTGCCCAGTATGCATTTAACTGGTACACCGAACACTGATGTCTCTCCTAATCTATCCTAAGCAGATATTAAAATATCGAATAAATATAATAATATCAACGAATATATTAATATCAAATCGGATGTAAGAAATATTTCGGACATTCACCACAATGACAATGTTATTGTCGACATTCACCGGTGAAAGTCGACATTCTCTTGATTTCAGTCATTCACGATAACATATATATCACTTTTGTTACCACTTAAATACATTTTCCAGACAGTGGGAACCCTGTTCTATTAAAATCTCTTACGTGATATCTCGAAGTTCCTAAANGAAAATTATCTAGATGTTTCATATATCTCGAAGTTCCTAAATTTAAAGTTTAGCTTTAAATATCATATTTTTTCATAAGTCTTTTTATTCATATTCGTAAGGATTGAAAGAAAATAATTGATCAGGGAAGCATTTTTTTTCTTTTAAAGATTCGTAAGGAATGAAAGAAAATATTTGGATCAAAGAAACATCCCTTTTCTTTTAAAGATTTGTCAGGAATGGAAAAAATATTTGGATCAAAGAAACATCATTTTTCTTTTAAAGTTTCGTAAAGAAAGAAAGAAAATATTTGGATCAAAGAAACATCCTTTTTCTTTTAAAGATTCGTAAGGAATGAAAGAAAATATTTCGATCAAGGAAACATTCTTTTTCTTTTAAAGAAAGGTAAAATGTGTTAGTGAGTCATGGAATTGCATCCTAGTAAGCATCAATCCTCACCTTAGGTAACTAAGTTTGCAATCATTTGAAGATTTGAAGTTATCTTTTAATTAAAAAAAAGCAAAAAACATTTCTCTCAAGTGTTTTCCAATTGGATAGATTTTGGTGCTATTAAAATACTTCTGGAAGTCGTTGCTTTTAAATCCAGTAGATGTAAAAAGAATTCATATTTTCCAGAGTGAAGTAAATAGAACTCCAAGAAACCTTAGATAAGATAAAGGTAGAAAGACAAAGTCCATTACCTGTGAAAGAACCGCAATGATAAGATTTGCTTCATAAGTTGAAGACTACACATTTTTGTAAGTATTTTGGATTTCTTTACTAAATTGCCAAAGAATAATGCTTTCAAAATGTTAAAAGCTATTTTAATTTGATTAAAAAAACACTGTTTCTTGTACATATTCCTTAAATATGTAAAAACGAAAATTAAAAATATTTTCTTCAAATGTCCTTATAAAACAGTTTCATGAAAATTCCATTGGGTGAAGTAAAAATCTGTGAGCCAAAATCGGTGAACCTAAATTAAATAAAACAATAATGATAATTAGAAAATTTACTCATTTTGAAAAATAGTTATAATGCTTTAAAATTCGTAAATTTTAGGGAATATAAAAAAAGTAGAAGAGTGCCTTTAAAATTTGGGAAAGAACAAGCAAATTATGGAATAGTTTTTATGCAGCTTCCGCTCTTTAGAACGAGTACGACCCATTTTAACGACCCTTCCATTATAACGACTAGTTTGCTATTCTATAGATACAATGTTATTTTAATGTCCATTAGAAGGTCAACTATTTATTCTAATGTATCGACCGAAATTTAGTCTTTAGATTTGGAAAAAGTTTCTATTTAAAGCAGTATTTCCTATGATGTTATCATTCAATAAATGTAATACAGCTTGGATTCCAATGTCCCCCTAAATTCCAGGTCATCGTAATTTATGGTCAAAACTCTTGTGAAACATAAATAATTTTAAATTGATTATCAAAAGAGTTGTTGCATCGCCATGCTCGCGAGCAATCATTAGGTTCAAATGATGCATTCATAATTCGTGAAACTTTGAAGCATACACTAAATTTATCAATATTCTTGTCTTTTTTTTTGCCAGTTTCTTTGTGTGGTGTATATTCTACATTTGGTTGTCGCAGTTATCTTGTTATTTATCGAAAATTGAAGCATCTTATTTGCAAAGCATATTCACCCATCAAGTAGTATTTTAAGGGGTATTTTTATGTATAGATTAATACTATAGACAAATATATATTACCATTTTTTCTTTTAGTTCCTGAATTTTTATTAAAGTAAAGCATTATTAATATTAGTCAAGCTCGTAATTAATCATAATCTCGCGGGGTATTTTTATGTATAGATTAATACTATAGAAAAATATATATTACCATTTTTTCTTTTAGTTAAGCAATCTTAATGTCGTAGGGTATTTTTATGTATGGATTAATACTGTAGAAAAAGAAATATTATCATTTTATCTTTTAGTTCCTAAATTCTTATTAAAGTAAAGCATTGTTAATATTAGTCAAGCTCTTAAGCAATCATAATCTCATAGGGTATTTTTATGTGTCGATTAATACTATGAAAAAATTATTTCCATTTTTTTAGTTCCTAATTTCTTTTTAAAGTAAACCATTGTTTTGTTAATATTAGGGTAAATTTTTTTTTAAACATGAGTTAATATTTACAGTATCTTTGTGCACTCATGTTGAAATGCACGTTTTTTACCCGATGACATTCACAGAGAAACGGACACGAGGAACATCACCTTATATCGAGCTGTATCAACAGCTTCATTGACTAAGTGTAACAAAAAAAAAAATAATTCAGAATAAAAAAAAATGTTTTACGCAACAGTCCGAAATTTTTCTGCATGTTTATTATTTCGAAATTATTCTTCTATTTTTGTTGATTTGTTTGTTAAGGCTTTTCTTTTTAAATGGAAAAACACCTTTCTGTATCTTGATATTTAAGACACACATAAATTCTTTATTGGAATATTTGTAACAACTATCTCTTTGAAATTTGGAAAAGCATATTGAAAATTATCTAGATGTTTCATTCTAATAAAAAGTGGTTAAACACGAGCCGACTCTAGAAGTAAACTGTTTTAACTATATTAATACATAATTATTATATAACTGTGTTAACACACAAACTGTTATAACTGCTTTAACTTTTTAACCACAAAACAGTTTTTAAATTTTATAGCTCAAAAACTAATCGACCAATTTTGTTCAAATTTCTTATTTTGTACTTTAAAATGAAATAAAAATTAAATTTAGTTTTAAATGACGCAAAAATGTAAATGATTTAAATTACAAAATAATATGGCTAATATTAGATTAAATAAACATATTATTATTTTTACAAGGGAATATTTTAGGATTTTTTCTCTCTAGGTGCCATCTCCTTGTAAGTTAAGAAATTCATGGAAGAGTAAAATGGTTTTGAAATTCCTGAATTTTTTTAACTGAAGTTCTTGTTACTCATTTCAAATTATTTATTTTTCTTTCATACCTAAGGAATGTTACTTATTTTCTAAATTATTTACATTACACCTTAATTACTGAATTAGTTACATTAAACCAATAAAGAGGTATTTTTAATAGCAGCATGGGAGACCTCTTCGTGGGGGCTTTTCTGCATTGATCAGAACTAAATGAAAAAAACTGTCGATTTTAAATAAGAGTTATAAGTGAAACTTGAGAATTAAATTTACCGTTTAAAACCTTTCTTTTTAAACTTGTATTTCATTTTATTTTTCTCATCTGAACTACACTGGTGTAAGAAATTAAGAGAATTTGCAGACTGGATCGATTATCTCTAGAACTACTGGACCGATTTTAATGAAATTTTATATGTACATACATTGATACAGTACAAAACAAATAATCATTTAACAATTGCAATACGCACTCATGATCGTGCTTAACACTCGTTAGAGTGGGAAGGTATGAAATTGCCACAGGAAATGATAAACTGCCTTATTTCAAATATGAAATTACGCTGCAAGTCCTGTATAAGAAGGAATCATACCCCCTATTAAACCATTTTTTTTTATTCTGCAACCGCTGTTTCATACCTTCCGACTCCAACGAATGTTACCCATGATCACGCGTGTGTATTACAATTGTTGAATAGTTATTTATTTCGTATTGTATGTACATATCAAATTTCATAAAAATCGGTCCAGTAGTTGTGGAGAACAAGTCTGCAAATTCTTTTAATTTCTTACACCAGTGTAATTTTAGTTGATTATAGTAAATCAGGTCTGTGGAATTAGAAAAATTTGTTTGACTTTGACTACTGAAAAGAAAGGTTTCATAGGCTAAAAAAAGAAATGAATTCGCTGATTAATGAAAGTAATATTCGTATTTGTAAGGGAAAAGAATTTTTCTCAAATGGATATTGTGACAATAATCTAAATTATAACTTCAAATTTAATTTTTTACATTTAAACGTTTTTGAGCCTAAGTATGACAGTGTTCTGCCTAAGTGTTTTTCGAAGGGTAGCCCAACCCGTCTGCCCTTTGATCCCTATAAATGAGCTCTCATTGCCCTTTTTCTAAAAATAAGCCACCATTCCTTAGAAACACTACCTTTTTATTATTTCTTTCAGAAAAAGGTTGTTTTCTTAACAGCCAGTTTTAAAGAAGAGTCCACTTGTGATTTATTTAATTGATGATAATTACACTAGTATAAGAAATTAAGAGAATTTGCAGACTTGGTTGATTATGTCTAGAACTACGGGACTAATTTCAATGAAATTTGATATGTACATACATTGATACAATACAAAACAAATAACTATTCAAAAATTGTAATACACACGCATGATCGTGCGTAACACACGTTGGACTCGGAAGGTACGAAACAGCTGTTGCAGAATATAAAAAAAAGGGTTAATTGAGGGTATGGTCCCTTCTTAAAGATATACAGGTCTTGCAGTGTGATTTCATACTTGAAATAAGGCAGTTTATTATTTACTGTGACAATTTCCTGAATTGTTGTGTGGCAATATCTCAGCTTCTGACTGACAATGATAGAACAAAACATTATCCAGTGTTACACTATCACACTATATACAATTTCAACTAAAAAAAGTTAAATTTATGTATAAAATTATAGTTGCATTTATTATAAAAGTAATTTTAAACATACATTACAACATGAGTTCTTAAGTTTAATTGCTACGGATAAAATCCGTTAATTTTGATTGAGTTTTTCGTTTAAAATGCTAACCAAAAAGGAAAGAGATTTTACTGCTTTAGCTAAAGGTCAAGTGGCTTCGAAAATCACCAACCAAGGTTATTTCCCTCATAAAAGGGGTTAACAAGTTTGAAATGTTGTGAATTTTTTGGGAAATAAGGAAAAAGTGGTTCTCAAAGAAAAGTTGGTTAAATAGAAAATTGACTGCGCTATTTGGAAGAAGAAATTTAAAAAAAAGTTCTTGGCTCCTCGAAAAAAATCGCAAAAAGTGAAATTCGCTAAAATGGAAGTAAGTTAAACAGAAGTTCGACTATATGTCATTAGAAATTCATAATAATTTTGTGATAGCATTTTTCCAGGATTTGGTGAAAATTAGATTGGGAGTCTCAAAACTTCTAATTTCTTCTAGCTTTAATGCAATTTCTTCCCTTCTTTCAAAGCATTTTTCATCTTTCAAAATTAAAGAGGATCATCTTATGGAGTACAATATTTGTATCTTGCCATCAATTCCTTTTTTAAACTGACTTTTTTTAATGTTTCAGTATTAATAAAGATAATTACTTATTCTAAAAAAGCATTTTTTTAGTCATTGCGTATTTAGCTTTTAAAGACTCAAAATTAAAAAAATTATACAGATCCAAAATTACAATTAAAAATTTGCACAACTTGACAACTTTTTCTTGATAATAAGTCATGTGTCAGTTTTCTGTTTACTACTGTGTTAAACTAGATTGTGTTTCTGATTAAATAAAACTACAATTTAAATGTAGATTACTCATACCTCATAAATGTCCTTATAACGTATAAAAATCCATTAATAATTATAATTTATTTTTCAAATTTCAAGAGTGGGAAATAGAATATATGAATAGCACGTTGCATTACATTTTATGAAAAGTTTTAACCAAGCTGGCTGGCTTCCTGTATTTGAATCACGATTTAAATTATGATTCAAATGAACTGATTTTTTTTTAAGGAAAATCTCCATTCAGAATTTTTAAAGGCATTTTAATATAACAGTGTTTTTGCTTTTTTTGTTAATTAACATAGTTTTATTGAATCTATCTATATATAAAATATATATAATATAATATA